GGGAGATTCACAAAGAGTGGACTGCAGCTGGAGTGAGTGCTTCAAGAACCACCACACACAGACGTATGAAAGACATGGGTTTCTGCTGTCGCATTCCTTGTGTCAAGCCACTCTTGAACCACAGACAGCGTCAGAAGCGTCTTGCCTGGGCTAAAGAGAAACAGGACTGGACTGCTGGTGAGTGGTCCAAAGTCATGTTCTCTGATGAAAGTAAATTTTGCATTTCCTTTGGAAATCAAGGTCCCAGAGTCTGGAGGAAAAGAAGAGAGGCACTTCATCCACGTTGCTTGAAGTCCAGTGTAAAGTTTCCACAGTCAGTGATGGTTTGGGGTGCCATGTCATCTGCTGGTGTTGGTCCATTGTGTTTTCTGAGGTCCAGGGTCAACGCAGCCACATACCAGGAAGTTTTAGAGCACTTCATGCTTCCTGCAGCTGACCAACTTTTTGGAGATGCAGATTTCATTTTCCAACAGGACTTGGCACCTGCACACAGTGCCAAAGCTACCAGTACCTGGTTGAAGGACCATGGTATCCCTGTTCTTAATTGGCCAGCAAACTCTCCTGACCTTAACCCCATAGAAAATCTATGGGGTATTGTGAAGAAGAAGATGCAATACACCAGACCCAACAATTCAGAAGAGCTAAAAGCCACTATTAGAGCAACCTGGGCTATCATAACACCTGAGCAGTGCCACAGACTGATCGACTCCATGCCACGCCGCATTGCTGCAGTAATACAGGCCAAAGGAGGCCCAACTAAATACTGAGTGCTGTACATGCTCATACTTTTCATGTTCATACTTTTCAGTTGGCCAACATTTCTATAAATCCTTTGTTTTTATTGGTCTTCAGTAATATTCTAATTTTCTGATATGATGAATTTGAGATTTTCATTTGTTGTCATTTGTAATCATCAAAATTAAACAAAATAAACATCTGAAATATATGAGTTTGTATGTAATGTATGAATATAATATACAAGTTTCACTTTTTAAATGGAATTACTGAAATCAATCTACTTTTTCATGATATTCTAATTTTATGACCAGCACCTGTATATAAATAAACTGGATTGTTTCGGTCTTGCTGGAGCTCCTTAAGGAGACGATGATCAATGTCAGCATCCAGGCCACCTGGTTTTGGCTCTGGGAGCATAACTGGACATCGCTCCTTTAGCATAGGAAGCACCTGCTCTCTGACGCTAGCAGCTCTGCAGTTTCCCACAATCCTTTGCTGATGGGAGGTATAGACCAGCGCTCTGCACACACCAGTATCCAGGCAATAATATTCAGAATCTGATTGAAATAAAGTATTTTATTTCAAGGGTCGGTGCTTCAACAGACCAATCATGAGATGTTTCCAGTGTGACACCAGAAACACCTGGTGGCTCCATGTCTTCTGGACCGTCCTCCACTACTGTCCCTGTCCCTCTCATGTCCATCTCCTGCAGTTTGGTCCATCAGATCCTGTTGATCACCTGTTCAATCAGTTCAGGTGTGTGGGGGCAGGAAGCACCTTAAACATGGAGGATGGTGGGCCTGAGGACCAGAGTGAAGAGACTCTATCTGATCTAGATCTTTGGCCTCGGATGAACTGCTGAACTTTGCTGGAGCAAAATCTTCAAGACATGATCCGATGACCCTAACTGATCGGATAGTCCAGTGTTTCTGAATGAAGGACGCTCTCCTGCTTGATTAGATGTCCTGTTATTAACAGGGTTATTCCTCAGTTTTCCCAACAACATTCCCAACAGCAGAACAGAGGAAAAAGGTTAACATCTAGGGGCTCATTTCCAAAAGAATGACCCAAATACAGCCTGAGAAATGGATCCATTTAATATGAGATCATTACTTTCATTAAAGGGGGGGGGGGGCATTCATTCATTTAGTAAATCTTTACTCCTGGATTTTTCCCAAAAGGAGTTTCATAACATTTTACCCACAAAACAAGGAAAAAGATTTTCACATATGTTCTTAGAAAAAGCAGCAGGATTTTTAATAAAGCGTTAAAATAGCTTTAGGCTGAAAGCAGCGTTCAGCGCTGCAGGAAGGAACTGTTGATAAATGAACCATGGTTGGATTAAAGGTGTGAATGGACCTTCACAGCCGTCCTGCAGGGTTAATGTTAGTGAGACAAGCAGGACGTCCGCCATCTTGTTCCCTTTCTTTGCAAAGAAATGTTTTTATTTAGCTGGACTGTGTAGCTGAATACCATCTCTGCTGGTTGCCATGGTAACTGCAGGGAAGAGACAGTCCAAAAACATGACTGTTAGGTTAACTGGCTTGTCTACATTCTCCTAAGGTGTGAGTGTGAATGGCTGTTTGTCCCTGATGTACTGGAGACCTGTCCAGGGTGGAACCCCCCTCTCTGTCCAGGGTGGATCCCCCCTCTATGTTCAGGGTGGACCCCCCCTCTATGTCCAGGGTGGACCCCCACCTCTCTGTCCAAGGTGGACCCCCCCTCTTTGTCCAGGGTGGACCCCCCCTCTATGTCCAGGGTGGACCCCCACCTCTCTGTCCAGGGTGGATCCCCCCTCTATGTTCAGGGTGGACCCCTCCTCTATGTCCAGGGTGGACCCCTCCTCTATGTCCAGGGTGGACCCCTTCTCTCTGTCCAGGGTGGACCCCCTCTTCTCTGTCCAGGGTGGACCCCTCCTCTCTGCCCAGGGTGGACCCCCCCTCTATGTTCAGGGTGGACCCCTCCTCTATGTCCAGGGTGGACCCCTCCTCTATGTCCAGGGTGGACCCCCACCTCTCTGTCCAGGGTGGATCCCCCCTCTATGTTCAGGGTGGACCCCTCCTCTATGTCCAGGGTGGACCCCTCCTCTCTGTCCAGGGTGGACCCCTCCTCTCTGCCCAGGGTGGACCCCTCCTCTCTGTCCAGGGTGGATCCCCCCTCTATGTTCAGGGTGGACCCCTCCTCTATGTCCAGGGTGGACCCCTCCTCTATGTCCAGGGTGGACCCCCACCTCTCTGTCCAGGGTGGAACCCCCCTCTATGTTCAGGGTGGACCCCCCCCTCTATGTCCAGGGTGGACCCCTCCTCTATGTCCAGGGTGGACCCCTTCTCTCTGTCCAGGGTGGACCCCCTCTTCTCTGTCCAGGGTGGACCCCTCCTCTATGTCCAGGGTGGACCCCTTCTCTCTGTCCAGGGTGGACCCCCTCTTCTCTGTCCAGGGTGGACCCCCCCTCTCTGTCCAGGGTGGACCCCCTCCTCTCTGTCCAGGGTGGACCCCTCCTCTCTGTCCAGGGTGGACCCCCCCCTCTCTGTCCAGGGTGGACCCCTCCTCTCTGTCCAGGGTGGACCCCCCCCTCTCTGTCCAGGGTGGACCCCTCCTCTTTGTCCAGGGTGGACCCCCTCCTCTCTGCCCAGGGTGGACCCCTCCTCTCTGTCCAGGGTGGACCCCCCCTCTATGTCCAGGGTGGACCCCTCATCTCTGTCCAGGGTGGACCCCTCCTCTCTGTCCAGGGTGGACCCCTCCTCTATGTCCAGGGTGGACCCCTCCTCTCTGTCCAGGGTGGACCCCTCATCTCTGTCCAGGGTGGACCCCTCCTCTCTGTCCAGGGTGGACCCCTCATCTCTGTCCAGGGTGGACCCCTCCTCTATGTCCAGGGTGGACCCCCTCCTCTCTGTCCAGGGTGGACCCCCCCTCTCTGTCCAGGGTGGACCCCCTCTTCTCTGTCCAGGATGGACCCCTCCTCTCTGTCCAGGGTGGACCCTCCCTCTCTGTCCAGGGTGGACCCCCCCTCTCTGTCCAGGGTGGACCCCTCCTCTCTGTCCAGGGTGGACCCCCCCCTCTCTGTCCAGGGTGGACCCTCCCTCTCTGTCCAGGGTGGACCCCTCCTCTCTGTCCAGGGTGGACCCCCCCTCTATGTCCAGGGTGGACCCCTCATCTCTGTCCAGGGTGGACCCCTCCTCTCTGTCTAGGGTGGACCCCTCCTCTCTGTCCAGGGTGGACCCCCCCTCTCTGTCCAGGGTGGACCCCCTCTTCTCTGTCCAGGATGGACCCCTCCTCTCTGTCCAGGGTGGACCCTCCCTCTCTGTCCAAGGTGGACCCCCCCTCTATGTCCAGGGTGGACCCCTCATCTCTGTCCAGGGTGGACCCCTCCTCTCTGTCTAGGGTGGACCCCTCCTCTCTGTCCAGGGTGGACCCCCCCTCTCTGTCCAGGGTGGACCCCCTCTTCTCTGTCCAGGATGGACCCCCTCCTCTCTGTCCAGGGTGGACCCCTCCCTCTCTGTCCAGGGTGGACCCCCCCTCTCTGTCCAGGGTGTACCCCTCCTCTCTGTCCAGGGTGGACCCCCCCCTCTCTGTCCAGGGTGGACCCTCCCTCTCTGTCCAGGGTGGACCCCCCCTCTCTGTCCAGGGTGGACCCCCTCTTCTCTGTCCAGGGTGGACCCCTCCTCTCTGTCCAGGGTGGACCCCCCCTCTCTGTCCAGGGTGGACCCCTCCTCTCTGTCCAGGGTGGACCCCCCCTCTCTGTCCAGGGTGGACCCCTCCTCTTTGTCCAGGGTGGACCCCCTCCTCTATGTCCAGGGTGGACCCCCCCCTCTCTGTCCAGGGTGGACCCCCCCTCTCTGTCCAGGGTGGACCCCTCCTCTTTGTCCAGGGTGGACCCCCTCCTCTATGTCCAGGGTGGACCCCTCATCTCTGTCCAGGGTGGACCCCTCCTCTCTGTCTAGGGTGGACCCCCCCCTCTCTGTCCAGGGTGGACCACCCCCTCTCTGTCCAGGGTGGACCCCCTCTTCTCTGTCCAGGATGGACCCCTCCTCTCTGTCCAGGGTGGACCCTCCCTCTCTGTCCAGGGTGGACCCCCCCTCTCTGTCCAGGGTGGACCCCCTCTTCTCTGTCCAGGGTGGACCCCTCCTCTCTGTCCAGGGTGGACCCCCCCTCTCTGTCCAGGGTGGACCCCCCCTCTCTGTCCAGGGTGGACCCCCCCTCTCTGTCCAGGGTGAGCCTGGATTAATTACTGGCCTTTATTAAACTGAAGCATCTAGTTTCCAGCTCTATTATTCTGATAACTTCCATATTAAACCTGCTTTTCCAGGTTTAATGTTCCTTTAGAACCGACTCTCAGCTCTCTTTCCCTTCAGTCTATGTCACTAGATCTACTCCTGTTTATCACCTGTGATGACAGGGCTGGTCCTAACCCTGCGCCCCCCCCATGGACCCACCTCCATCGGCAGAGAGAGGATCAGAGGTCAGCGAGATGCTCAGCAGACCGGGGAATGAGGGAAAGGAACAGATTAGGTAGTTTTTGATTAAATAGCTCTCATTAATGGTTCTAGATTGCCACTGCAACACAAATTACCCTGGATGTTGATGACATAGATATATGATTAATAGAAAGTAAAGAGGAATGCCTGAGAGAGTGTATCTGGATTAAGTTCTCCAATATCTGTGATGCCTTTTATCCTTTCCTTAAAATATGCATCATATTGGGTCAGAGCCTGGTTCTGTTCCTCCCCACTGTCACTGCATGCATGCGCAGTGTGAGCGTTACTGAAGAGTCAATATCTGCTGTCTCTAGATGCTCATCCATGACTGGATGATCGGATTGATCTGGATCTAGAAAGAGACCTGAGATGACATGATGGGAATTGGAGCATAGAAAGAGAATGAATAGAATTTCCATGTTGGTTCCCCTGAGATGGACGGAGCTGCAGGCTGGACTCAGCTGTTCCTTCATCACTTGATTAGACAGGAACCCGGAGAGGAGCTGCAGCAGCACCTCCTGCTGTCTTTCTGCTCCACTTCATCCAGATGCTCCTTCTGGTTCTCAGCTGACGCTGCTGCCCCCTGGTGGAGGTCTGCCAGGAACACACACACTGATCTGCTAGAACAAGTTCTACCGGCCTTCTCTTAGAACATGGTGATGCAGCACCTTCCCAGAGGAGCACGTCACCAACCAACCTTCCCGCTTAAATCTAGACCAATGTCCAAGTTCTGAACAGGTTCTGGTCCAACAGGATCTGGATCAGAACACGGACAGAAATAACCCGACAGAAAGGAGCTTCCTTTGAAGAAAACAGAGAAGAACCGGAGGAGAACCAGGAACATCCAGAACAAGAAGAGCAACTGGTACTGTGAAATGGGTCGGAGGTCCGCTATATGGGCAGCTGTATTATTTATAGGTCTGGTTCTGGTTCTGGTTCTAGTTCTGGTTCTGGGTCAGGTTCTGGTTCTGGTCCAGACCACCAGACCATCGAGATGAATGTTAATTCCCTCTAAAGGCCAGAGAGCTGTGTGTGTGTGTGTGCCTGAGGAAAAGTTGTTGCAAAGTGAGGACATGTTGTTGGTCCTCACGACCTTAGCTGATGGTTAGATATCCATTGGTAATGGTTAGGGTTAGATTTGCATTGGTAATGGTTAGTTTTAGGGTTAGATATGCATTGGTAATGGTTAGTTTTAGGGTTAGATATGCATTGGTAATGGTTAGTTTTAGTGTTAGATATGCATTGGTAATGGTTAGTTTTAGGGTTAGATATGCATTGGTAATGGTTAGTTTTAGGGTTAGATATGCATTGGTAATGGTTAGTTTTAGGGTTAGATATGCATTGGTAATGGTTAGGGTTAGATATGCATTGGTAATGGTTAGTTTTAGGGTTAGATTTGCATTGGTAATGGTTAGTGTTAGATATGCATTGGTAATGGTTAGTTTTAGGGTTAGATATGCATTGGTAATGGTTAGTTTTAGGGTTAGATTTGCATTGGTAATGGTTAGGGTTAGTTTTAGGGTTAGATATCCATTGGTAATGGTTAGGGTTAGGGTTAGATTTGCATTGGTAATGGTTAGGGTTAGTTTTAGTGTTAGATATGCATTGGTAATGGTTAGTTTTAGGGTTAGATATGCATTGGTAATGGTTAGTTTTAGTGTTAGATATGCATTGGTAATGGTTAGTTTTAGTGTTAGATTTGCATTGGTAACGGTTAGTTTTAGGGTTAGATATGCATTGGTAATGGTTAGTTTTAGGGTTAGATTTGCATTGGTAATGGTTAGGGTTAGTTTTAGGGTTAGATATCCATTGGTAATGGTTAGGGTTAGGGTTAGATTTGCATTGGTAATGGTTAGGGTTAGTTTTAGTGTTAGATATGCATTGGTAATGGTTAGTTTTAGGGTTAGATATGCATTGGTAATGGTTAGTTTTAGTGTTAGATATGCATTGGTAATGGTTAGTTTTAGTGTTAGATTTGCATTGGTAATGGTTAGTTTTAGGGTTAGATATGCATTGGTAATGGTTAGTTTTAGTGTTAGATATGCATTGGTAATGGTTAGTTTTAGGGTTAGATATGCATTGGTAATGGTTAGTTTTAGGGTTAGATTTGCATTGGTAATGGTTAGGGTTAGTTTTAGGGTTAGATATTCCATTGGTAATGGTTAGGGTTAGGGTTAGATTTGCATTGGTAATGGTTAGGGTTAGTTTTAGTGTTAGATATGCATTGGTAATGGTTAGTTTTAGGGTTAGATATGCATTGGTAATGGTTAGTTTTAGTGTTAGATATGCATTGGTAATGGTTAGTTTTAGTGTTAGATTTGCATTGGTAATGGTTAGTTTTAGGGTTAGATATGCATTGGTAATGGTTAGTTTTAGTGTTAGATATGCATTGGTAATGGTTAGTTTTAGTGTTAGATATGCATTGGTAATGGTTAGTTTTAGGGTTAGATATGCATTGGTAATGGTTAGTTTTAGTGTTAGATATGCATTGGTAATGGTTAGTTTTAGGGTTAGATATGCATTGGTAATGGTTAGTTTTAGGGTTAGATTTGCATTGGTAATGGTTAGGGTTAGTTTTAGGGTTAGATATCCATTGGTAATGGTTAGGGTTAGGGTTAGATATGCATTGGTAATGGTTAGTTTTAGGGTTAGATATGCATTGGTAATGGTTAGTTTTAGGGTTAGATATGCATTGGTAATGGTTAGTTTTAGGGTTAGATTTGCATTGGTAATGGTTAGTTTTAGGGTTAGATATGCATTGGTAATGGTTAGTTTTAGGGTTAGATATGCATTGGTAATGGTTAGTTTTAGGGTTAGATATGCATTGGTAATGGTTAGTTTTAGTGTTAGATATCCATTGGTAATGGTTAGTCTTAGGGTTAGATTTGCATTGGTAATGGTTAGTTTTAGTGTTAGATATGCATTGGTAATGGTTAGTTTTAGTGTTAGATATGCATTGGTAATGGTTAGTTTTAGGGTTAGATATGCATTGGTAATGGTTAGTTTTAGGGTTAGATATGCATTGGTAATGGTTAGTCTTAGGGTTAGATTTGCATTGGTAATGGTTAGTTTTAGGGTTAGATATGCATTGGTAATGGTTAGTTTTAGTGTTAGATATGCATTGGTAATGGTTAGTCTTAGGGTTAGATATGCATTGGTAATGGTTAGTTTTAGTGTTAGATATGCATTGGTAATGGTTAGTCTTAGGGTTAGATATGCATTGGTAATGGTTAGTTTTAGGGTTAGATTTGCATTGGTAATGGTTAGTCTTAGGGTTAGATATGCATTGGTAATGGTTAGTCTTAGGGTTAGATTTGCATTGGTAATGGTTAGTCTTAGGGTTAGATTTGCATTGGTAATGGTTAGTTTTAGGGTTAGATATGCATTGGTAATGGTTAGTTTTAGTGTTAGATATGCATTGGTAATGGTTAGTCTTAGGGTTAGATTTGCATTGGTAATGGTTAGTCTTAGGGTTAGATATGCATTGGTAATGGTTAGTTTTAGGGTTAGATTTGCATTGGTAATGGTTAGTTTTAGTGTTAGATATGCATTGGTAATGGTTAGTCTTAGGGTTAGATTTGCATTGGTAATGGTTAGTCTTAGGGTTAGATTTGCATTGGTAATGGTTAGTTTTAGGGTTAGATTTGCATTGGTAATGGTTAGGGTTAGGGTTAGGGTTAGATATGCATTGGTAATGGTTAGTCTTAGGGTTAGATATGCATTGGTAATGGTAATGGTTAGTTTTAGGGTTAGATATGCATTGGTAATGGTTAGTTTTAGTGTTAGATATGCATTGGTAATGGTTAGTTTTAGGGTTAGATATGCATTGGTAATGGTTAGTTTTAGGGTTAGATATGCATTGGTAATGGTTAGTTTTAGGGTTAGATATGCATTGGTAATGGTTAGGGTTAGATTTGCATTGGTAATGGTTAGTCTTAGGGTTAGATTTGCATTGGTAATGGTTAGTTTTAGTGTTAGATATGCATTGGTAATGGTTAGTTTTAGGGTTAGATATGCATTGGTAATGGTTAGTTTTAGGGTTAGATTTGCATTGGTAATGGTAATGGTTAGTTTTAGTGTTAGATATGCATTGGTAATGGTTAGTTTTAGGGTTAGATTTGCATTGGTAATGGTTAGGGTTAGTTTTAGTGTTAGATATGCATTGGTAATGGTTAGTTTTAGGGTTAGATATGCATTGGTAATGGTTAGTTTTAGTGTTAGATATGCATTGGTAATGGTTAGTTTTAGTGTTAGATTTGCATTGGTAATGGTTAGTTTTAGGGTTAGATATGCATTGGTAATGGTTAGTTTTAGGGTTAGATTTGCATTGGTAATGGTTAGGGTTAGTTTTAGGGTTAGATATCCATTGGTAATGGTTAGGGTTAGGGTTAGATTTGCATTGGTAATGGTTAGGGTTAGTTTTAGTGTTAGATATGCATTGGTAATGGTTAGTTTTAGGGTTAGATATGCATTGGTAATGGTTAGTTTTAGTGTTAGATATGCATTGGTAATGGTTAGTTTTAGTGTTAGATTTGCATTGGTAATGGTTAGTTTTAGGGTTAGATATGCATTGGTAATGGTTAGTTTTAGTGTTAGATATGCATTGGTAATGGTTAGTTTTAGTGTTAGATATGCATTGGTAATGGTTAGTTTTAGGGTTAGATATGCATTGGTAATGGTTAGTTTTAGTGTTAGATATGCATTGGTAATGGTTAGTTTTAGGGTTAGATATGCATTGGTAATGGTTAGTTTTAGGGTTAGATTTGCATTGGTAATGGTTAGGGTTAGTTTTAGGGTTAGATATCCATTGGTAATGGTTAGGGTTAGGGGTTAGATATGCATTGGTAATGGTTAGTTTTAGGGTTAGATATGCATTGGTAATGGTTAGTTTTAGGGTTAGATATGCATTGGTAATGGTTAGTTTTTAGTGTTAGATTTGCATTGGTAATGGTTAGTTTTAGGGTTAGATATGCATTGGTAATGGTTAGTTTTAGGGTTAGATATGCATTGGTAATGGTTAGTTTTAGGGTTAGATATGCATTGGTAATGGTTAGTTTTAGTGTTAGATATCCATTGGTAATGGTTAGTCTTAGGGTTAGATTTGCATTGGTAATGGTTAGTTTTAGTGTTAGATATGCATTGGTAATGGTTAGTTTTAGTGTTAGATATGCATTGGTAATGGTTAGTTTTAGGGTTAGATATGCATTGGTAATGGTTAGTTTTAGGGTTAGATATGCATTGGTAATGGTTAGTTTTAGGGTTAGATTTGCATTGGTAATGGTTAGTTTTAGGGTTAGATATGCATTGGTAATGGTTAGTCTTTAGGGTTAGATATGCATTGGTAATGGTTAGTTTTAGTGTTAGATATGCATTGGTAATGGTTAGTCTTAGGGTTAGATATGCATTGGTAATGGTTAGTTTTAGGGTTAGATTTGCATTGGTAATGGTTAGTCTTAGGGTTAGATATGCATTGGTAATGGTTAGTCTTAGGGTTAGATTTGCATTGGTAATGGTTAGTCTTAGGGTTAGATTTGCATTGGTAATGGTTAGTTTTAGGGTTAGATATGCATTGGTAATGGTTAGTTTTAGTGTTAGATATGCATTGGTAATGGTTAGTCTTAGGGTTAGATTTGCATTGGTAATGGTTAGTTTTAGTGTTAGATATGCATTGGTAATGGTTAGTTTTAGGGTTAGATTTGCATTGGTAATGGTTAGGGTTAGGGTTAGGGTTAGATATGCATTGGTAATGGTTAGTCTTAGGGTTAGATATGCATTGGTAATGGTTAGTTTTAGGGTTAGATATGCATTGGTAATGGTTAGTTTTAGTGTTAGATTTGCATTGGTAATGGTTAGTTTTAGGGTTAGATATGCATTGGTAATGGTTAGGGTTAGGGTTAGATATGCATTGGTAATGGTTAGTCTTAGGGTTAGATTTGCATTGGTAATGGTTAGTTTTAGGGTTAGATATGCATTGGTAATGGTTAGTTTTAGTGTTAGATTTGCATTGGTAATGGTTAGTTTTAGGGTTAGATATGCATTGGTAATGGTTAGTTTTAGGGTTAGATATGCATTGGTAATGGTTAGTTTTAGTGTTAGATTTGCATTGGTAATGGTTAGTTTTAGGGTTAGATATGCATTGGTAATGGTTAGTTTTAGGGTTAGATATGCATTGGTAATGGTTAGTCTTAGGGTTAGATTTGCATTGGTAATGGTTAGTCTTAGGGTTAGATATGCATTGGTAATGGTTAGTCTTAGGGTTAGATATGCATTGGTAATGGTTAGTTTTAGTGTTAGATATGCATTGGTAATGGTTAGTCTTAGGGTTAGATATGCATTGGTAATGGTTAGTTTTAGGGTTAGATTTGCATTGGTAATGGTTAGTCTTAGGGTTAGATATGCATTGGTAATGGTTAGTCTTAGGGTTAGATTTGCATTGGTAATGGTTAGTCTTAGGGTTAGATTTGCATTGGTAATGGTTAGTTTTAGGGTTAGATATGCATTGGTAATGGTTAGTTTTAGTGTTAGATATGCATTGGTAATGGTTAGTTTTAGTGTTAGATATGCATTGGTAATGGTTAGTTTTAGGGTTAGATTTGCATTGGTAATGGTTAGGGTTAGGGTTAGGGTTAGATATGCATTGGTAATGGTTAGGGTTAGGGTTAGATATGCATTGGTAATGGTTAGTTTTAGGGTTAGATATGCATTGGTAATGGTTAGTTTTAGTGTTAGATATGCATTGGTAATGGTTAGTTTTAGTGTTAGATATGCATTGGTAATGGTTAGTTTTAGGGTTAGATTTGCATTGGTAATGGTTAGGGTTAGATATGCATTGGTAATGGTTAGTTTTAGGGTTAGATATGCATTGGTAATGGTTAGTTTTAGTGTTAGATATGCATTGGTAATGGTTAGTTTTAGTGTTAGATATGCATTGGTAATGGTTAGTTTTAGTGTTAGATATGCATTGGTAATGGTTAGTTTTAGTGTTAGATATGCATTGGTAATGGTTAGTTTTAGTGTTAGATGTGCATTGGTAATGGTTAGTTTTAGTGTTAGATATGCATTGGTAATGGTTAGTTTTAGGGTTAGATATGCATTGGTAATGGTTAGTTTTAGGGTTAGATATGCATTGGTAATGGTTAGTTTTAGTGTTAGGACACAGAAAGGGTTGAAAATCACTGCAGATCAATGGAAGTCAACTCATGGTCCTCACTATATATAGCAGAAGGAGCATGTATGTGTTAGTGGGCGGGCTATGTTAACTGGGGCAGATTAACGGGATGAGCTGCAGATTTCTGCTCAGATTAATTTAATTCCAGCTGTGAACACAATCCAGGGTGTGAACAAACAGGTCCACTTTCTGCAGAACCAGCCGGGTTGGGTTGGATCTAAACTGGAACCTGGAGCAGAACCAGTAGAGTGGGGTGGGTGGGGTTCTGCTGGCGCCATTGACTCGGTGTTCCTGCCTGTTCTGCAGGATACTGCTGGGGGGGGTGGAGTGACATCCACGGTTCCTGATGGCTTCAGAGATGAAGCGTCTCTGTCTTCTCAGCGTCCTCCACATCTGGGTCCTGTCCTCATGGACAGAACCAGGCTGCAAAGCCATGATGCAGAACTCTGAGGTTCTCCATAAGGCGGCAAGAATAAAGAGACCAGGAGAAAGAGTTCTTTCCCAGCTGAGGAAGAGGAGGAGCTGGGTGTGGAACCAGTTCTTTGTTCTGGAGGAGGACCCTGGAGACGAGCCGCTCTATGTGGGAAAGGTAAGAAGATCTACGCTTTTATCTCCAGGAACATATCAAGGTGGATGTTTGAGGAACCGTCCCAAACCAGGAAAGAAGTTAGAACAGGAGGTCCGGTTCCACTGCAGGTCTGGTTCTACAGCAGGTCCGGTTCCACTGCAGGTCCGGTTCCACTGCAGGTCCGGTTCCACAGCCGGTCCGGTTCCACTGCAGGTCCGGTTCCACTGCCGGTCCGGTTCCACTGCAGGTCCGGTTCCACTGCAGGTCCGGTTCTACAGCAGGTCCGGTTCCACTGCAGGTCCGGTTCCACAGCAGGTCCGGTTCCACTGCAGGTCCGGTTCCACAGCAGGTCCGGTTCCACAGCAGGTCCGGTTCTACAGCAGGTCCGGTTCCACTGCAGGTCCGGTTCCACTGCAGGTCCGGTTCTACAGCAGGTCCGGTTCCACTGCAGGTCCGGTTCCACAGCAGGTCCGGTTCCACTGCCGGTCCGGTTCCACAGCAGGTCCGGTTCCACAGCAGGTCCAGTTCTACAGCAGGTCCGGTTCCACTGCAGGTCCGGTTCTACAGCAGGTCCGGTTCCACTGCAGGTCCGGTTCCACTGCAGGTCCGGTTCCACTGCAGGTCCGGTTCTACAGCAGGTCCGGTTCCACTGCAGGTCCGGTTCCACTGCCGGTCCAGTTCCACTGCAGGTCCGGTTCCACAGGAGGTCCTGTTCCACTGCAGGTCCGGTTCCACTGCAGGTCCGGTTCCACTGCAGGTCTGGTTCCACTGCAGGTCCGGTTCCACTGCAGGTCCGGTTCCACTGCCGGTCCGGTTCCACTGCAGGTCCGGTTCCACTGCCGTTCCGGTTCCACTGCCGGTCCGGTTCCACTGCAGGTCCGGTTCCACTGCCGTTCCGGTTCCACTGCCGGTCCGGTTCCACTGCAGGTCCGGTTCTACAGGAGGTCCGGTTCCACTGCAGGTCCGGTTCCACTGCCGTTCCGGTTCCACTGCCGGTCCGGTTCCACTGCAGGTCCGGTTCCACTGCCGTTCCGGTTCCACTGCCGGTCCGGTTCCACTGCAGGTCCGGTTCTACAGGAGGTCCGGTTCCACTGCAGGTCCGGTTCCACTGCCGTTCCGGTTCCACTGCCGGTCCGGTTCCACTGCAGGTCCGGTTCCACTGCCGTTCCGGTTCCACTGCCGGTCCGGTTCCACTGCAGGTCCGGTTCTACAGGAGGTCCGGTTCCACTGCAGGTCCGGTTCCACTGCCGTTCCGGTTCCACTGCCGGTCCGGTTCCACTGCAGGTCCGGTTCCACTGCCGTTCCGGTTCCACTGCCGGTCCGGTTCCACTGCAGGTCCGGTTCTACAGGAGGTCCGGTTCCACTGCAGGTCCACTGTGTGATCAGACGGAGGGATTTGAATAATTCTAGGAACCACTAGTAAACCTGCAGATTGAGAGCGAAGTGCTCTGTTAGGAACATAAGGAACAATCAGATCTCTGATATCAGATGGAGCTTGGCCATTTAAGGCTTTATATGTGAGAAGGAGGATTTTAAATTCTATTCTGGATTTAACAGGAAGCCAATGAAGAGAAGCCAGGATAGGAGAGATAGTGATCTCTCTTTTTCATTTTCATCAGAACTCTGGCTGCAGCATTTTGGATCAGCTGAAGGCTTTTAACTACAGTTTGTGGACTTCCTGATAGTAAAGAATTACAATAGTCCAGCCTTGAAGTAACAAATGCATGGACTAGTTTCTCAGCATCACCCCTGGACAGGAGATTGCTCATTTTTGCAATATCCCTCAGATGAAAGAAGGAAATTCTAGAAACCTCTTTGATCTGGGATTTAAATGACAGGTCCTGATCAAAAATAACACCAAGATTTTTTACTTTATTATCTGAAATCAGTTTAATCCCATCCAAATGAAGTGACTGGCTAATCAGCTTCTTCTGGATTAAAAAGAAATCTAGGATTATTCTTATTCTCCTCTATTAATGAGGAGAAGTATGCTGCTCTTGCTTTACAAAGGGTCCTCTTATACAGCAGTAAACCATTTTTCCAGACTAGGAAGGACTCCCGCAGGCCTGTGGAGCGATATTTTCTCTCCAGTTTCCTAGCATTTTGCTTCAAAGTACGCAGCTCTGCATTAAACCAAGGAGCAAGCTTTCTATTTTTAACGGTTTTCATTTTTAAAGGAGCTGCGTTGTCTAAGGCAGTACGCAGAGAACTAGCAACCCCATCAACAAAATCATCAGCCTGTGAAGGGGAATAAGCTAAGCTTTAGCACTCTGCAGCACTGCTCAGCGACACAGAGGAGAGAGAAAGTGAAGCAGATTCTTTAAAATGTATAACTGCTCTATCTGATAAAGATCTACTAAAATGTAACCTTCTTTTGGGGGAGGAGAACTCTGTTAAAGTAATCCTGAAGGTTATTAGAAAGTGGTCAGAGAGGACAGGGTTGTGAGGAAATACTGTTATTTCTTCACATTCTATGCCGTATGTCAGCACAAGATCCAAAGTATGAAGATGAGAATGTGTGGGACTATTCACATTTTGAACAAAGCCAATAGTGTCTAAGATAGCATTAAAGGCTGCTCTTAAGCTATCGCCTTCAATGTCAGCATGGATGTTATGTTAGCATGGATGTTATGTTAGCATGGATGTTATGTTAGCATGGATGTTATGTTAGCATGGATGTTATGTTAGCATGGATGTTATGTTAGCATGGATGTTATGTCAGCATGGATGTTATGTTAGCATGGATGTTATGTTAGCATGGATGTTATGTTAGCATGGATGTTATGTTAGCATGGATGTTATGTCAGCATGGATGTTATGTTAGCATGGATGTTATGTTAGCATGGATGTTATGTTAGCATGGATGTTATGTTAGCATGGTAAAGTCTGCTTCTGTCAGCGATGTAGCATCCCACCATCAGTGAGTGAGAAACTTTAGTCAAGGCTCCTGGTTGTAAATACTCTATGTAAGTAGAGGCCATTAACCTTTCAGCATTAATGGCCAGTTTGGTCTTTCCCCCACTGGTTAACTGGTCTCCTTTCTGGTTTAACTGCTTTGGTCTTCACAGCTCCACTCTGACATGGATAAAGGTGATGGTCAGGTGATGTACCACCTAAGTGGAGAAGGAGCGATGTCCATTTTCACCATCGATGAGCAAACGGGAGACATCCACGCCATCAAGAGGCTGGACCGGGAACAGCAGGCTCACTACACCCTGAGAGCCCAGGTCCGAGACCGGAACAGCCACCTGCTGCTGGAGCCAGAGTCCCAGTTCATCATCAAGGTCCAGGACATCAACGACAACGCTCCCAGGTTCCTGAACGGGCCGTACACTGCCAGAGTTCCTGAGAGGGCTCCTGTAGGTGGGTCAGGAATTCTGAGACATTTGGGTTGAGTTCAATTCTATTCAGTTTATTTCTATAGCTCCAATTCACATCATGTCATCTCAGGTCACTTTCCAGATCAACCAGATCATTCAGTCAGATTGATTCAAAGTTTTCTATCTAAGGAAAACCAGCTGATTGCATCGACTCATTGACTCTTCAGCAATCCCTCACACTAAGCATGCTTGTAGCGACAGTGGAGAGGAAAAACTCCCTTTGAACAGGAAGAAACCTCCAGCAGAACCAGGCTCAGTGTGAGCGGCCATCTGCTGAGGCCCACTGGGGTTCAAGGAGACAGAAGCAGACATAGAAAAAGAAGCATAGATACAAAAGGCAACCAGCTCCACAGGCGGCCCCGTCCAGGAAACACACAGCCAGGCAGACGAGCTCCGAGCCAGCTCCCATGTCAGAGGATGAAGAGAGCACAGTGCTCTGTTAGGAAATTCTAGAAACCTCTTTGATCTGGGATTTAAATGACAGGTCCTGATCAAAAATAACACCAAGATTTTTTACTTTATTATCTGAAATCAGTTTAATCCCATCCAAATGAAGTGACTGACTAATCAGCTTCTTTTTCAGAGACTCTGGTCCAAAGACTATAACTTCTGTTTTGTCTGCATTCAGAAGCAGAAAGTTAAGAGTCATCCAGGTTTTTATGTCTTCAGACATGCCTGTAATCTATGAATCCAGACTTCAGATATCTACAGATGTGTTCTTTAGAAGGTGCTTCACTCTGAGCATTGTCTTAGTGCCCCTTAGTTTCAGCCATACTGGTCTTAGTGCCCCTTAGTTTCAGCCATACTGGTCTTAGTGCCCCTTTGTTTCAGCCATACTGGTCTTAGTGCCCCTTTGTTTCAGCCATACTGGTCTTAGTGCCCCTTAGTTTCAGCCATACTGGTCTTTAGTGCCCCTTTGTTTCAGCCATACTGGTCTTAGTGCCCCTTTGTTTCAGCCATACTGGTCTTAGTGCCCCTTAGTTTCAGCCATACTGGTCTTAGTGCCCCTTTGTTTCAGCCATACTGGTCTTAGTGCCCCTTAGTTTCAGCCATACTGGTCTTAGTGCCCCTTAGTTTCAGCCATACTGGTCTTAGTGCCCCTTTGTTTCAGCCGTACTGGTCTTAGTGCCCCTTAGTTTCAGCCATACTGGTCTTAGTGCCCCTTAGTTTCAGCCATACTGGTCTTAGTGCCCCTTTGTTTCAGCCGTACTGGTCTTAGTGCCCCTTAGTTTCAGCCATACTTGTCTTGGTGCCCCTTAGTTTCAGCCATACTGGTCTTAGTGCCCCTTAGTTTCAGCCATACTGGTCTTAGTGCCCCTTAGTTTCAGCCATACTGGTCTTAATGCCCCTTAGTTTCAGCCATACTGGTCTTGGTGCCCCTTTGTTTCAGCCATACTGGTCTTAGTGCCCCTTAGTTTCAGCCATACTGGTCTTTAGTGCCCCTTTGTTTCAGCCATACTGGTCTTAGTGCCCCTTTGTTTCAGCCATACTGGTCTTAGTGCCCCTTAGTTTCAGCCATACTGGTCTTAGTGCCCCTTTGTTTCAGCCATACTGGTCTTAGTGCCCCTTAGTTTCAGCCATACTGGTCTTAGTGCCCCTTAGTTTCAGCCATACTGGTCTTAGTGCCCCTTTGTTTCAGCCGTACTGGTCTAAGTGCCCCTTAGTTTCAGCCATACTGGTCTTAATGCCCCTTAGTTTCAGCCATACTGGTCTTAGTGCCCCTTTGTTTCAGCCATACTGGTCTTAGTGCCCCTTAGTTTCAGCCATACTGGTCTTTAGTGCCCCTTTGTTTCAGCCATACTGGTCTTAGTGCCCCTTTGTTTCAGCCATACTGGTCTTAGTGCCCCTTAGTTTCAGCCATACTGGTCTTAGTGCCCCTTTGTTTCAGCCATACTGGTCTTAGTGCCCCTTAGTTTCAGCCATACTGGTCTTAGTGCCCCTTAGTTTCAGCCATACTGGTCTTAGTGCCCCTTTGTTTCAGCCGTACTGGTCTTGGTGCCCCTTAGTTTCAGCCATACTGGTCTTAGTGCCCCTTAGTTTCAGCCATACTGGTCTTAGTGCCCCTTTGTTTCAGCCGTACTGGTCTTAGTGCCCCTTAGTTTCAGCCATACTGGTCTTGGTGCCCCTTAGTTTCAGCCATACTGGTCTTAGTGCCCCTTAGTTTCAGCCATACTGGTCTTAGTGCCCCTTAGTTTCAGCCATACTGGTCTTAGTGCCCCTTAGTTTCAGCCATACTGGTCTTGGTGCCCCTTTGTTTCAGCCATACTGGTCTTAGTGCCCCTTAGTTTCAGCCATACTGGTCTTAGTGCCCCTTAGTTTCAGCCATACTGGTCTTAGTGCCCCTTTGTTTCAGCCATACTGGTCTTGGTGCCCCTTTGTTTCAGCCATACTGGTCTTAGTGCCCCTTAGTTTCAGCCATACTGGTCTTAGTGCCCCTTAGTTTCAGCCATACTGGTCTTGATGCCCCTTTGTTTCAGCCATACTGGTCTTAGTGCCCCTTTGTTTCAGCCATACTGGTCTTAGTGCCCCTTTGTTTCAGCCATACTGGTCTTAGTGCCCCTTTGTTTCAGCCATACTGGTCTTAGTGCCCCTTTGTTTCAGCCATACTGGTCTTGGTGCCCCTTTGTTTCAGCCATACTGGTCTTAGTGCCCCTTTGTTTCAGCCGTACTGGTCTTAGTGCCCCTTAGTTTCAGCCATACTGGTCTTGGTGCCCCTTTGTTTCAGCCATACTGGTCTTGGTGCCCCTTTGTTTCAGCCATACTGGTCTTAGTGCCCCTTAGTTTCAGCCATACTGGTCTTGGTGCCCCTTTGTTTCAGCCATACTGGTCTTGGTGCCCCTTTGTTTCAGCCATACTGGTCTTAGTGCCCCTTTGTTTCAGCCATACTGGTCTTGGTGCCCCTTTGTTTCAGCCATACTGGTCTTAGTGCCCCTTTGTTTCAGCCATACTGGTCTTAGTGCCCCTTAGTTTCAGCCATACTTGTCTTGGTGCCCCTTAGTTTCAGCCATACTGGTCTTAGTGCCCCTTTGTTTCAGCCATACTGGTCTTAGTGCCCCTTAGTTTCAGCCATACTGGTCTTAGTGCCCCTTAGTTTCAGCCATACTGGTCTTAGTGCCCCTTTGTTTCAGCCGTACTGGTCTTAGTGCCCCTTAGTTTCAGCCATACTGGTCTTAGTGCCCCTTAGTTTCAGCCATACTGGTCTTAGTGCCCCTTTGTTTCAGCCGTACTGGTCTTAGTGCCCCTTAGTTTCAGCCATACTGGTCTTGGTGCCCCTTAGTTTCAGCCATACTGGTCTTAGTGCCCCTTTGTTTCAGCCGTACTGGTCTTAGTGCCCCTTAGTTTCAGCCATACTTGTCTTGGTGCCCCTTAGTTTCAGCCATACTGGTCTTAGTGCCCCTTAGTTTCAGCCATACTGGTCTTAGTGCCCCTTTGTTTCAGCCATACTGGTCTTGGTGCCCCTTAGTTTCAGCCATACTGGTCTTAGTGCCCCTTTGTTTCAGCCATACTGGTCTTGGTGCCCCTTAGTTTCAGCCATACTGGTCTTAGTGCCCCTTTGTTTCAGCCATACTGGTCTTAGTGCCCCTTTGTTTCAGCCATACTGGTCTTAGTGCCCCTTAGTTTCAGCCATACTGGTCTTAGTGCCCCTTTGTTTCAGCCATACTGGTCTTAGTGCCCCTTTGTTTCAGCCATACTGGTCTTGGTGCCCCTTTGTTTCAGCCATACTGGTCTTGGTGCCCCTTAGTTTCAGCCATACTGGTCTTGGTGCCCCTTTGTTTCAGCCATACTGGTCTTGGTGCCCCTTTGTTTCAGCCATACTGGTCTTAGTGCCCCTTTGTTTCAGCCATACTGGTCTTAGTGCCCCTTTGTTTCAGCCATACTGGTCTTAGTGCCCCTTAGTTTCAGCCATACTGGTCTTAGTGCCCCTTTGTTTCAGCCATACTGGTCTTAGTGCCCCTTTGTTTCAGCCATACTGGTCTTAGTGCCCCTTTGTTTCAGCCATACTGGTCTTGGTGCCCCTTTGTTTCAGCCATACTGGTCTTGGTGCCCCTTTGTTTCAGCCATACTGGTGTGTTTGTCTTTAGGAACCTCAGTGGTGACAGTGGTGGCAACAGACGCTGATGACCCCACTTATGGAAACTCAGCCCGGCTTGTTTACAGCATCCTGCAAGGTCTTCCCCATTTCTATGTGGACCCAAAGACAGGTAGGAATATATTTGGTTCTGACTTAAAGTTGGGTTTTACATGAATGCATGCTATTTCATAACCAGTGTTGAAAACAGTAACTTTGTTTTCCGTTAGGCTCACATCTGGAGCAGTGAAATAAAATCACTTTTTTCAACCCTTAGAGCCTCCATGAGATCATCCTAATAAACCAGTCCCAGAATATAATCTGACACAGAGGCTCTAGTTTCAGTTTACTGATCCGTCTCCACATTCCAGAATGAGAGAGAAGGAGGAAAAATCTCCTTTTGATGGACGCTTCATTTTTAACACCCTTCATTTGAACCTTCCTTGGTTCTGAAACACAGCCAGCTAGAGGGGCCCCGAACTAAGGGCCCCTAAAGGGTCCTATGCTAATATGTTAAACTCTCATGTGTTTTTGTGCAGTTTTACCAGTTTCATTATGGTTATTGACTTTAAGCAGAGCTTACAGTTAATTCATTATTTCTCTAAAGTAAAGAGTCTCATAGATGTTGGTCAGATGATTATAATGAACTTATTACCTTGTTTTATTAATAGCTTACAGCTATTAAAATCAAAGTGCTTTTCACCATCAGTAAATGTCAATAACTTGGTTTGGAATTTAAACAAAGTTAAGAAAAAGGAGAACTGTCTTTGTTTATTCAAGTTTTTACTCAAAGGAGGTTGATTCAGCTTTCAGTAGAGGCGGGAGGATTGATCCTAGGATCAATACCACCATCGATCAATCCTACGCTCTATCGATGCTATGCATACCAACGCTATGGATAGGAACACTGGTATGGATCCATAGGATCCATAGGATCCATACCACCGCTGGTAGTAATAATGAATAATACTCAGTTAAGAAGAACAAGTCAGAGCTGCTGAACTGGTGAATGGATCTGGTGTCCACTCTGACACGTGACCAGTAGAGCTCAGTGGGAGCTGATCCTGGATCAGTAGGATGATCCTGGATCAGAGCTCCATGGTCCTCCTCTTCCTGTCTGTATTTACTGATGAAGGGTGCTGCCTCCTCCTCCATCATTAAATCAGATTACTGCTTCTATCCTCCTCACATGGTTTCATCTCAGTTATCAGAACCGTGACCCAAACATCCCTCTGCAGAACCTCTCAGATGACTAAACCAGAACATCTGAGCTCCAAGGTTCCACAGCTTTATCATCTACCCACCGGTTAGGAACCACCAACAGACTGCTGGTACCAGAGTAGCGCTACTAAACCAGTTGCTCATCTTTGTTAGGTACTGATGAACTGTCATCCAGTGGGCCTCAGCCTTGCTTTCCAAAATGTGATGGATGTGCATCAGTTGTTCTCTGGTAGCCGCGCACAGCCACCCTGACCTCCTACATGTTCTCACCTGTCCTCCAGGTGTTGTGCGGACCGCTTTGCCTGACATGGACCGTGAGACACAGGATCGGTACCAGCTGATCATCCAGGCTAAAGACATGATGGGTCAGATGGGAGGTCTCTCAGGAACCACCATGGTTACCGTGACACTGACAGACGTCAATGACAATCCGCCTCGTTTCCCCCGCAGTAAGTCCGACCTCTGACCTTTAGGCCACCACAGACTTTCTGCTGAGTCCATCCTTGACATGCCTTGGGTCCCACAGGGAGCTATCAGTTCACCGTCCCAGAGTTGGTTTCGGTGTGGTCCGTTGTGGCGAGGGTTAAAGCTGTAGATCTGGACTTGGGTCCTAATGCTGAGGTGGTCTACCGCATGGTGGATGGAGACGGACTGGGAACCTTCCAGATCCAGACTGATCCCAACACTCAGGAAGGACTGATCACTCTGCTCAAGGTACCGGGCTCTCTGTAGTCCGTCCTGTTTCGGGTTATGATCTGTCCTGTTTGGAGCTTATCAGTGGTCTTGGAGTCTTGACTTCAGAGACGTCCTGGAAATGTTTCTTTGGTGTGCATGATTCTGGTTCTGGCTTCCCCCTACAGGACCTGAACTTTGAACTCAAAGCCAGCTACACTTTGAAGATTGAAGCCTCTAATCGACACGTTGACACTCGCTTCCTGCTGGTGGGTCCATTCAGCGATGTGACTATGGTCAGACTGGAGGTGGCAGACCAGGACGAACCCCCCGTCTTCTCCACCTCTGTCAGTCAGGTGCTGGTTTCGGAGGGGGTTCCAGTGGGAACCAGAGTGGCATCAGTTTCAGCTCATGACCCTGATGGCGCCAAAAGTCCAATCAGGTGAGCTGAGACTCTGGTCATGGAAGCATGTCATCAGTGGTACCGTTGGTGTTTTCTGGAGGTTCCGTGTAAAACTTGTGCTGTTTCAGATTTGCACTTAGAGGCTTAGAGACCTCATCTGAAAACATTTCTCCTAATAGCCGTCAGTGTCTGCAGGTACCTGATAGACCAGAACTCGGACATCGGCCGTTTCTTTGACATCGACGGCAGCTCAGGTACCATCAGAACCAGCAGATATCTGGACCGAGAAACCAGAGTTCTTCACAACATCACAGTGATTGGCTCTGAAATCCGTAGGTACCAGACCTGGTCTGTGGTCTGCTGATGTTTGGAAGGAAGTAGCTGAAAGCTGTGTCTGCTCTCAGGGGACCCGTCTCAGGTGGGCTCAGCGGTGGTTCTGATTTCTGTGACGGACGTCAACGATAACCCACCAAGGTTTGCTAGCGAGTACTGGACCTCCGTCTGTGAGCATGTGCAGCCTGGACAGGTAAAGATCTTCTAGGGACCTGGTTGGTGGTCTTGAAGGAGCCAGCTGACTCTAGGTATCTCCTCCTTCAGGTCATTGAGACTCTGAGTGCAGTCGATCCAGATGATCCAGAGGATGGACATCACTTCCTCTTTTTTCTGAACCAAGAAACTGCTTTGAACTCCAGCTTCACCTTGAGAGACAACAGAGGTAAAGTACTCCTCACATCCCAGGGTCATAAAGGCAGTCTGGGTTTTGGACCAAGAACTTCCTGATGACTGCTCTTGTCCTTCTGCTTCTAGACAACACTGCCTCGGTTCTCACGTCATGGTCCAGCTTCCTGCGGCGGGATCGACCCGTCCACCTTCTTCCTGTGGTGATTGCAGATAGTGGCAGTCCATCTCTCAGCAGCACCAACACCCTAACCATCACTGTCTGCGACTGTGATCTCCATGGAAACCACCATCTCTGCAGTGAGGAAGACCCGTGGCGTGGTGGCGTGGGGTCTCCCGCCGTCATCCTGATCACCGTGCTCCTATTCCTGGGTATGTCCTGACATCACAGGGTCTGAATCTGATGTAATGGTGGAACCATGTCCAGTTCCTGATGACGCTGAGCAGAATGATGGTGTTTGTGGGTTCTGCAGAGATTTGACATGGACTTTGTCCTCAGGTGTTTCCCTGTTAGCTGCTGTCCTTAGATCCAGGAGGAGGGTGCCTCAGATGATGGAGGAGGAACAGGACATCCAGGAGAACATCGTCTGTTATGATGATGAAGGTGGAGGGGAAGAGGACACCAAGGCCTTTGACATGGTCGCCTTGAGACACTCGAACCAGATGAATCTGACTTCTGGTACCGCCGAGCCAGAGAGCGTGACCCAGAAGACCAGGCTGCTCCAAGCGTTCATCAGAGAGCGGCTCCAGGAGGCGGACCTGGACCCCACAGCTCCAGTCCTCGACACCTTGCAGACGTACGCCTTGGAGGGGAGCAGCTCTGCGGCCCAGTCGCTCAGCTCCCTCTGCTCTCTGGACTCATCCGAGTCGGAGCAGAACTTTGCCTTCCTGAAGGCCTGGGGTCCGAGGTTCCAGAAGCTCACAGAGCTCTATGGGCACCGGGTTGGAGGGGGCGTGGCCTCATAGCAGAGCACAGCTGATTGGCTGGCCCTGACCCTACTCTAATATAAACTAACTAAAAACCTCAGCTTTACCCAGCATGCATCTCTGTGGTCATCCAGTCATTCGCTGATCTGCTTACTGCTCAGAGGTGAACTGACCAATCACAGGACAGAGGTCTTTACTGGTCCGAAACCACAGGAACTGGTCTGTGCCAGGATTCCTACACCCAGTCCACCTTTGGTCATGTCATCTGTGATGTCACTGTGATGTCACAGTGATGTCACAGTCAGGAGTTTTATTTCCATTTAAAACCTCAGCAGAACCAAAAGGATAAGGGTAACCATTTCCTGATTTCTAATTTCCAGAACAGGATGGAAAAGCTTTACAGAAATAAAACAAATTAGAACAGAATAGCATAGAAAATAATAGAACATATTAGAGCAGGTAGAGTAGAACAAAATAGAGAAGAACAGAATACAATATATAGCTTTGCCCTAATGTCCCACATCAAAGGGTGAACCTAGTGACGATCGCCGCCATATTAGGAGGGGTAAACATTTGCTTAGCGACCACAGAGCGAACTGTAAGTAGATTTTACACGTGGTTTGAGTCATAACCATTTATAAACCTTCTACCAAAACATAAGAGCAGATATGAAACAAGAAACGAACAAACCGCAGAGAATCCAGGCGCCCAGCGGAGGATCAGGGGAGCAGCACCTCTGCTGGAGGTAGGACCATGAAACAGTCCTTCTAGGCCTGAACTAAAACAGCTTTAAAAGGCTCTTCAGAGCATTTCCCTCTTCATCCTTTGTCAACAGTATTTTCTCTGTCTTCCATTTCAAATAAAGAAAGCTTTTCTCCGCAGCCTCCTTCACTAAATTATCAGTTAATTCATTAAATACTTTCTCCTGATTTTATACTTAATAATAATGTCGATGCCTGGAACACACGTAGGTCCACTTTGACTTCGGACTCCAGGTTTTTCTCCAAACCTTCCTAAAGCTAGCATCCAAGGCAATCATTTTGGTTTGTTGGAAAACGTTAGAACAACGGTTTATCTACTTGGCAGGCATGATTGCTGCGTCCATAAGCAGCACAAGGCTTCAGCATCAGGACCAGGATGGACCAGTCATTACTGCACAGTTCTTTACCCCTCCTGTAATGGTGGCTCAGGGTCACTGGGTTCATAACATCTCCCAGCGCCATCTACAGAACAGAGCAGAATAGAACAGAACAGGATGTGGAGATGATAAAGCTTTAAGGAGAGGGAAGAATGGAGAGGAAGACCCAGTGGTTTATGGAGTACAAGAGGAGGGAGAGAGCTCATGGTTTCTGAAGCCCTTGGTTGTCATGTACGGTGGTGGTTTCCAAGCCTGCTCCTCAGGGACCCCTGTCCTGCATGTTTTAGGTGTTTTCTTTTTGCATCACACAGAAAAGAATGGATGATTAACCGGTTTCTACCTTTATGATTACAGCGGAGAAGCCCTGCAGCGCTCCCCCAGGGCAGCACCCCACCCCGCAGCGCTCCCCCAGGGCAGCACCCCGGAATGCTCTGCTAGTGCAGGGCCCCGCAGCGCTCCCCCAGGGCAGCACCCCACCCCGCAGCGCTCCGCTAGGGCAGCGCTTTCCAAGGGCAGCACCCCGGAATGCTCTGCTAGTGCAGGGCCCCGCAGCGCTCCCCCAGGGCAGCACCCCACCCCGCAGCGCTCAGCTAGGGCAGCGCTCCCCTAGGGCAGGGCCCTGCTCCGCCCCACAGTGCTCCCTAGGGCAGCACCCCGGAATGCTCTGCTAGTGCAGGGCCCCGCAGCGCTCCCTCAGGGCAGCACCCCACCCCGCAGCGCTCAGCTAGGGCAGCGCTCCCCTAGGGCAGGGCCCTGCTCCGCCCCACAGTGCTCCCTAGGGCAGCACCCCGGAACGCTCTGCTAGTGCAGGGCCCCGCAGCACTCCCCCAGGGCAGCACCCCACCCCGCAGCGTTCGCCTCAGGGCAGCGCTCCGCTAGGGCAGCACCCCAGAACGCTCTGCTAGGGCAATGTGGAGTCAACAAGTCATCTCCATGTCATGTATTTAATCTACCCAGCCAATTAACCAGGTGAGTCCAATCAGCACAGGTTAATTCACGGTGAAGATTGGACTCACCTGCTTCAGTGGCTGGGTAGAACAAATACATGACATGGAGATGACTTGTTGACTCCACATTGCCCATGTCTGCTCCAGCCTCCGCTGTTCCTCCCGTATCGCTGCGCTCAAACTGATCCTCAGAGCTCCAGGAGAGCATGCTCCATATTATCATTGAATTAATAGGAGCTAAACATGCAGAAATGAAGCTTAATTTAATCTGACAGATTAAATAATCCCCATCAGCATCCAGCAGATGTTCAGTTTCTGATGGAGATGAGAAATCTGCTTCCTGGTCTGTTGAAGGACCGATAGTTTGCATCTAATCTTTGAAATAAACGCTGTTAGTTTATTGAAATGTAGAAGAATTATGCTCTAATTACTGATCTGTTGTTACTATTTTAATTTGACAAACCAGATCTTCTCGCCGTTCTTTCTCCTGTTTGGTGCGATTAGCGGATCCTGACCTGGCCGGACCGGAGCGGAGCCTGAACATTTAGAGGATGTTTGGCTCAACCTGCTGCTGTGAAGCAGGATTCTCCACCATGAACAGAATCAACAATAAATCTGGATCCAGGCTCAAATGAGCTCCTTGATATGTGCTTGAGAATGGCTTAGTCTCCGGTTAAACCCAGGTTTAAAGCCTTGCAGGGCAGCCTAAAGCCCACTGCCAACATTAAGACAGAAAAAAGAAAGAAAATAACAAACCATCAGTTCAGGGATTTGAGAAAATATGGGAATCAGGAAATTATCTATAAACCAAACTGAAACATTGATGTTCTCTACTTAAAATGGAAAAATTCTTTTTTTTATATCTATATTTGTTTTTATTTCAAAATTTAATGTATAACATGAATGCATAAACACCTCATTTTATTTCAGTGTTAAATTCTGTTTAAATGAACAGATTATAATAAAAATGTCTCCAGACCTTTACTGGTTGATGATTTTCTTTATTCAGACCCGCTGATTTTTAATTGGTTCCCCTGGTTTAATGTTTCTAAATCTTTATTTCCCGTCATGTGCTCCATCCAATGCAGATCATTGGCTCCGCCCACATCTAGTGAAAACTAGTGTGATTGGATAGTCAAGAAACAAACACTCATTGGTTTTCTAAAGGAAATCATCAGAACTAGCAGGTGTTTTCTTCAAACTGCCTAACTTTA